AAGGCCACTGATCACTCATGAAGAGAAGACACATACACATGACACCGTCCCTGCAAAGCCTTCTCAGCTGATCTGCAGAGATTGTGGGCTCTAGACTGCTAGTTAGAGATCATGATGGCATTTGCATGGGTGGTTTGTGCCTGGTACTAGCCCGGTGGTTCCCAACCCTTTTTTAAATGGGACCCCTTTTTTTCAATTCAGAAACAAAGACACAACTTTTCCAAATACGTCCATCAGCCTAAAGTGTACTCGGGTACTGTACGCTCAGCTCACGCAAGGACCTTGCATTTTTTGTCTCAAATTAGTTGGTCTACAAAGTGGCAACCCTGAACAGGGCCTTTTATTCACATTCAAAAAAGAAACAGAATATTCTAAACAACAGCAACAAGCTACTGGAGATAACAATAGACACCCCTGACTAGTGTTTGTGTGAGGCAGAGAAACCAGGAACTCTAGTTTGAGAGAGTACAAATACATTTGTATTGGTTATAACTTCTGAAGTTATTCAGGCAATGAATAAAGATAAATATAGTCTGCCTGTGTCAACCACCTGTGTTTGCTCCAAAGATGGTATTCAGTATACCAAGATAGTGCACTCATATTATGGGGGAATTGAAAGTGCAATATGGTGAAATAAGTCCAGCCGTCTATGTAAGAGTCCAATAAAAACAGTCAGTGTCCTGAGACGTGCACTTAAGGCTCAGCATGTGCATAGACCAACCTGAAAAATAAAGGTTTTTAATGCTATTTAAGCATTTATAGGACAGATGTTTTATTACTGATCTTGTTTGGCAATAAGTTGTATTTCTACGGTGGCCGAGAGAGCTCAACGCGCTGCAACTGAAGAAAACACATGCAAATAGAAAAACACCCACAAATTAAGAAAACATCTTCATCAGTTTCACAACACATGTGTGCTCAAAATACTCACAACACAACCAAATACAGAAACGCGCTGTAAATAACACAGACAACAACGGAAATGTTTCCAGGGGACCCCAGTAAGTGACGAACCCGGCTGGGACGTGCTTATTGCTCGTGATCATCCCTATGCCCTACTCCTTTCTAAGGGCAGACGGTAGAGCCCTTAAAGTGGGGACTTTGGAGTGAGCAGGGCACTTGTGTGCCATTATGTAGCCGTTTGGAACGCACTTGGCGAAGGGAGCAACGAAAGACCACGTAATTTCCTCATTATTTTCACCTGGGATGTTCCCATGACAACGCAGCACGGTGTCCATCAGCTGAATAGCTGTTATTACCAGAAATATCTTATTATTGCTGTTAACATAACGGTTGCAAATAAATATACATTTTATAAAAATAAAAATAAAAAAAAATTAATATGAGTTATATAGGCTATCTGTGTGTGAGTGTCTCAACTTTAAAACTTTCCATCTCATCTTTAGACCATGCATTACCAAACATTTCTTATGAAACTTATTTAAACATAACATGACAACATTTTTACAATGTAACTGATGTATAGATTAACATCTTTCCCTCATGTTCTTTTTCTCTATCTTTTTTATTTATTTATTTTAGTTTTCAGCTCAATGTTCTTTTCTCATTAGTATTCTGATGACATTGAACATATTGTTAACATTTTGTATATTGTATACAAGTTGTATGTCATAAACATGTAATCTCTGTATGTTTTGCACCAAAAAAAAAAGAATAATAATAAAATAAAATAAAGTAGACTTTGAGCAATAAGCACGTCCCAGCCGGGTTTGTCACTTACTGGGGTCCCCACATTTCCGTTGTGGTCTGTGCTATTTATAGCGCGTTTCTGTATTTGGTTGTGTTGTGAGTATTTGGAGGGCACATGTTGTGAAACTGATGAAGATGTTTTCTTAATTTGCATGTGTTTTCTTCAGTTGCAGCGCGTTGAGCTTTCTTGGCCACCATATATTTCCCCATTCAAGTAGATAGGAGTTGGTCATGCATGTCTGAAATATCCCACAGGCGTTGTAAATATGACCACAGAGTGAACTGGCTTTTCTTGAAAGGGGTTTTGTTTCATGCACACCTTTTAAAAAAGGACAACACTTTCAACATAATAAACTGAAGTATACTTTGGGCTTAGCAGTATATACAATGCACAGATGGTAGAGCCATCTATTGTTCCTTTTTTGGTTGACAATGGTCAGCTTTTTCATGCGTCAATGCGCACATATATTCAAACGAATATAACTATAGAATCAATTTTTAATGCGCATGTGAACGCCATCAGGTCACAGGTTCGCGTTTAAAGTCTGTTTAGAGAGAACGCCGTCGTCTTAGTGGCCCCTAATGTAATAACAAATGATAATTTTGCTGGAAGTGAATCAATCACAACTAACTTTAGCTGGAAATAACATTATTCAAAAATCGCTATAAAGCCAAAACAATCTCTGTTACCGTAAATTGTATGTTTATCTCTGTAAAGCTGCTTTGAAACAATTTCCATTGTTAAAAGCGCTATATAAATGAAGATGACTTGACGTGTCTGTGTTCAGACTGAATTATTTGATTTCAACTAGCCTACAAGTGAAATACAGAAAACCGTCACTCACATGGGATCACAGCAATTACCAAACGACAACAATCCAACGAACCAATCAATTCCAGATGGACAAAGTCAAGTCCAGCCCTACATAGTCTATTCTTCCCTAGTGTGATGTATATCCGAGTGAAATGGCTTTTTGAATGAAAAAACAAAAAACACAATTTCCATTTCATGGCGAAGATGAAGTAAGAGACTGTTGATTACAGAAACACTTATAATTCGTTCAGCATCAACGTAAAAATATATTTTTTTAATCTAATTACAATTTAAATGTCATTTAAATGAGTGCTATATATCCTGCTATTTCAGAATATTGCATGGATCTTCCCAGCTTTGCAATGGCTTAATAGTGCCCTAGTCTTTGAAGCTCAAAAAAGCTTTAAAAACTCAGGCACTATCATGCCATTGCAAAGCTGGGATGAGGCAGGATATTATTTAATATAACTTAGATTGTGTTCGGCTGAAAGAAGAATACACCTAGGATGGCTTGAGGCAGAGTAAATTATGGGAATTTTTTTTAATTTTGGGGTGAACTATTCTTTTAATAACAAGCTAAAGCTGGGGTAGAGCACAACAATCGAGATCTAGACTAAATATCCCATTTATTTTCTCCACAGCGACAATGATAGTATATAAATCCTCAAGACAGAAGTACCATGAGCTCTGAGGTTGTTAATTGATAGTACATGTTCAATTTGCATACAATAGTCATAATCCTTAAGATTATGCCAAGAGCAAAGATAGCAGATTTCAAATGGCATACTTCTAGCCATTGAGATGAATGTGAATGCTGACGAATAGCTTTCTCGTGTTATTTTAAACCTTTTTGGAGTCAAGTCTTTATATGTGCTTCACATAAGGAGCGTTATGATAACACAGAGTCTCTACCTATGTACAGCATTCCAAATCAAACACTCCTTAGGATGCTGCCTATGTAGGCAGTGAACAGTTAGGCAGCTCACTAGGTTTTGAAGCACAGCACCTGTCACTCTGCACTACACAGCTGTCTAATAAAAAGGGAAATCTCATGCATAAAAGCGAAGAAATAGGAACTTTTAACCACTCACTATAAAATCATACGTAGTGTCTAGTGTGTTGCTTTTAGCTCAAGATAAATCAAAAGATTGCTTGACAGCGATACTTTCACAGTTGTAGTTGTTCGCCCTCCCTCTTCACATTGTGCCACAGTATGTGGTTTATTGTGCAGTGAGTTCCAATCATGGTTAAAGGAGTCTGATCCTGCCACTCTCCTCGATACGCTTCTCGTGCTCACCCTCCCTTCTAGGCAGTAGATGATCTCTGGTAATCTGCATATAAAACAGTGCAGACTTTGGCAAGCCAAGCACAGACAGAAGTGTGAAGTGATCCCCGCTTAACTCTTTCATCTGATGGTTAATTAGCGTGTGGAAGCGGCTTAATGCCACAGCGTCAGCCAAGGGAACTCACCCACTAATCCCTGACACAAATCGCATTTTCTTCAGGTAGAGATCACCTGTGTCACTGCAGATCAAATGTCTCCCTCTTTCTCACACATATAAACTTGACTATGAGCTAAGTGTTTTTTTTCGCCCGCTACTTGCAGTAAGAATGGTGTCATTGATGAAACCCTCTGTTGCCAACCGCTGGAGTCTCTCCAGCAGCTAATCTCTAATTCATGACGTCCATTTTAAACCGGCCCAGTTCCAAACACAGGTACATGCTGCCTTACTGCTGCAAATCTTATAGAATGAATAGAGCATTCACTGCAGCTTTTTATTTATGACCTTCACAATTCGTAATGGAGTGAAATAGAGAGGAGTGGAAAGACATTGTACAATAGTTTGATCCAGAAATCGGCAATTTTATGGATGTGAAGTGCCACTTTTCCTTTTTAACCCCCTACGAAATACAATAAACTGTGATTTCTCAGGTGCAGAATGCTAGATTCTGTTTCCCAGCATGCATGGTATCATGAAGAAATTATGAAGAAATTTTTTCTTAAAGTGCGATTGTTTTGTGCAAGAAACATTAAGGACCACGCATGACAGACATGTGCGTGTAGCAGTTATTATAAAAAAGCTGCTTGCGAAAACATCTCAGTTATATGAATAATATTATTCTAAGTGTCAAAAAAAACAAAAAACAGAACAAGCTCCATCGCATAAAGCTAATACAGCGCATAGCATACACCATAAAGCAAAAAAAAAGAGATTGTGTGATGATGAGCAAGGATTACTGCAGAAGAAATTTGGCATGCAGATGAGAGAGACTTCAGCACTTCTAATATAAACAAATAAATAAATTGAAAATTCATAATATTAATCTCTCGCTCTTATCCGTGCCAGTGATTGAATACCCCTCACTAGACCAATGCTGGCTCGTGAGGGTGGTCTAAGGTTACAGACCCCAGGTTCGATGGGTGTCTGCGAGTGTTTGCTTGTAGCGTGTAAGAGGAAGATTACTGCTGTTTTACCTGATCCACTCCATTAGCTCCACAGTGTCTGGGTCATAAAACTCTCTCAGTTCAGAAATCTCCTCCATCATTCTGGGCCAGAACTGTCAACAGAAAGACAGCTCGATTGAGATGGAGAGAAAGTGTGAGACTGATGAAATGGGAATGACTCACAATAATCAATGATCAACAAAACAGCACAATAAACAAACATCCATATACACAAATTCGCACAATTCATATCTGATTGCTTATTCCCACCGTTGCGTTAACAGATGGAGAAAAAAGCATGGCAGAATCCGAACTCTCCTAAACAACACACACAGTGGGATACGAATTCCATTTGTGTGCATTTGGATTCCTGCGTGACTATTTATGGAGTACAGCCACCCAGGCAGCTTAGCAATTTATGCAAATAGATACATGACAGCATAGTTGAAAATGTCTTACCTTGTAATAAAGAAACGCCAGAATTACAATTGGAACAGAGTACCTGATCAGTCTCATCTGTGGAAACAGGTTAATAACATAAATGGATCAATATCTACATAAATAGGAAGAAACAGGATGTAATTGTTTAGGCTCGAGGGCTGTAACTACATTGCCACCTAGTGGGGAAATGAAATTTTCAGTTGCGTGGACATGGGAATATTTATGCAGAAGAAAGAACATCATGCCTCACTGAAACTCAATATCAGTTTATAGCATTGAGCATTATAGCTTCCCAATTATACATGCATAGTGTATCTTTGGTTTGTGGGCTTCTATAAACATGCAATGGATTCTATTACAGACCCGTGTATTCTGCTATTGCTTGTATTGAATACAGGGGAGAGGGTGTAGACTGGGCAAACTGCATTACCCCCTTAAGGCATATGAGGAAAAAGTGAGCAGTATTTTAAAATGGTTCAGCATGCCATGTCATGTAAATTATAAACACGTATAAAATGTAAAAATACATTTATTTGCATATAAATATGTTGGTAAATTACCTTTATAAAACAATGTAATTTGTCAGCTAAAGACTAGCCATGAATTATTAAATGAAATGGCACCAGTGGGGCAAAGTGTGTCATATGCTTTGGGGTAAAACACTAAGTCAGCAGTGAGCTTTACAGCCAAAACAAGAAACACTATTATAAAATGCTGAAAATTGCCAAACTACATTTAAATAATCTGAAAGTTTAAACCTTTTCCTGACCATTTTATACAAATTAATTTAAGAATAATAGGCATATGCAGCAAAATAAGACTTGGAATTGGATTGTGCATTAGCTAGTAGGTTTCTTCTGTCTCATTTCTACTTTTTTAAAGGACACTTAAGTAAAGAAGTGTTACAGCTCATCCCATTCTCCTCTACAGTGCATGTGTGTGTGAACAAGTAAACAAAACAAGTACCTTTTTATCTTTTTTTTTTTTTTTTTTTTTTGATCAAATAATTGCATTTGCATTTGCACTGTGTGTGTGTGTGTGTGTGTGTGTGTCAGATCTCAGTATCTCACCGTGGTTTTAGTGTTGCAGTGGAGGACTCTCAGATACAACGTCCACACCTCCTTTCCACAGACCCCAAACGCAGTGAATGCACACATATGGCCAGTCCACAAATATTTCATTCTGCCAGCAGCAAAGATAGAAATCTATGACTTCAATCCTATTTTATCATAAAGCTTAGACAACACATTGCAAAAAAACGAAAGACTGAAATAGCATTCATTTTCAACTCTATTACTATTCTGACACCAAACTAAACTTTCTGAAACGATATTGCAATGTTTATCCGTAATTCATTCATCATTAAAATCTCGAATGAACAATCAAACGGACTAATAAGATGAATAAGATCACAAAGCAGAAGCGGTGCGGGGACAGGAAATTAAAGTGGTAGCGGAGAAGAGGGTGAAATTGAGATGCACCATAGCGGCAGCAGCAGGGAATGAAATTACAGACGGCGGAGTGAGGAAAATACAGGAAAGATATACATGCTATGAAAGCAACAAAACTTTACAATTTTTTACCAAGTTGTTTACCTCATAGTGGAAAAGGCGAGCAGGCCAAAGAAGACGGTGTGCAAGAGATTGTAAGCGACGTCCGGCCGCATGCTAAAGGTCCTGTCCTCTTTCTCCCTGCTCGCTTGGCCAGACCCATTTGTGCTGGAAAGAAGAATAAGGAATCAAACAAAATGGGAAAAAAAAGAAATTATATCCGAAATCCTTATCCTTGCAGGGACATTTTTTGGTCCCCCATGAGGAAAACAGCTTATAAATCATACTAAGTGATGTTTTTTGAAAAATTTAAAAAGCAGAAAGTGTTCTGTGATGGGTAGGTTTAGGGGTAGGGTTAGTGCAAGGGAAAGTCCCCACAAATCATGAAAACACACTATGTGTGTGTGTGTGTGTGTGTGTGTGTGTGTGGTGCAAAGCCTCTGGGTGTTTGTGGGCTCCTGTGATTCTGATAAGAAATGAGAACAAAAAAGAGGGCCAAACAGCCCTTAAAGCAACAGCAAATCAGCTTTGAACTAAACATAATAACATGCATTTAAAAGCCCTAATGGAAAAAAAGAAGAAAAACATCTAGAGTCCAATTATTATGTGGCACATCTAATAAAGACTAATACCTATAATTATAAAGTAGCATTATGACCTGTGCACAAGGTGTTTATGAAACCATCACTGCTCTATTGGTCATTTTTCAGCCTATTTCTGTGCTATAATTAGAAAAGTGAACATTATGAGAATATTTAAATTCCCAGAAACACGTCTCATTAATGCGTAGCACACATTGCAGTAGTGCACATGAGCGTTTCCTGCTGAGAGAAAGCGATGCAGTAGTTTTACCTGAGATTAGAGAGTGCCACCAGCAGCAGCAAGATGAACAGCACACTGAGGGTGCACAGATACGGATAGAGCAGCACTGTGCCAGCCAACCGCTCAAATGTATCCAATGGCAACACGCCAAATGCCTCTTCGCACAGATAGAGACTGGCATCAAAGTCTCTGAAAGAAAGAGGCAGGGAGTGAGTGCGGGCTGCATATATAGTATCCAGATTATTGGGAGCAGCAATTAATCTGATCAACTGAAATGGCGTGATAAATATCTAGTGGATGAGCAGATTATATTGTGTTCCAGATGTTATTTTTTCACCAGAGCTGAACGCATTTAATCACAGCGGATTAATGGCTCGCTCTCGTCTCTGAGTAGATCTCACTTCTGAACAAGACATCACTATATTTGACTGCTGATAAATGTAGCACCACAAAGAGATGACCAAAGACTTACCTCGTTGCCCCGAAGCCAAACTTGGCCTTTATGAACTTAAAGATGTGCTCATCCGATTTCAGCTGGAGTATTTTCTGTCAATTAAAATGGAGAGAGTGAAGGATGAAGTCATTCATGTGAGTGTCTCATGAGTTTGGGGATGTGGGTTTTTATGAGAATGAGATATGAAGAAAGACAATGAGAGTGAAAGTAAAGCTTTGTCTCAGGAGGAGCAGGTAGAGAAGTTGTACTGTATCATTAATGACGGGGTGGACGATGTAGAACACGATTCATAGCTCACCTTGGCTGAATAATTGATGGTGAAAGTTAATGTGAGGACTAGGAGTGTGTGAAGAGCCAGTTTTCCTACTCGTATAACAAAGCTGCCCGTCTTTAGTCCCTTCTGAAAGCCACACACGCACACAGCAGGTTTTAATAAATAAACTACAACAATATTCTTAGCCTCTGTTTTCAATCACAACAGAATTGGATGTTAGGAAACACAGATAAGGTTCGTACAGAAAAACAAAAGTGATAAAGTGTTTCAAGTAAACATTGTTTTAGTATAAAGCCCTGTTTGGATGGGATATGTTTTGCCTGCTGTATTTAGACATTGTTTCCATCTAATGTGTTTGACCTGTAATGTAATCATGTAGCATATGGGATTATTAGGATAAAAGACATTAGTGAGTCTGTAATTCTTTTGCACATACATACATTTTGTGCATACTGTACATAGAACTGTCATTCACCGCTTAAAAGTCAAAAACATAATGGGTAATAATCTCTTTTACATGGGTAACAAGGGCCAGTTAAAAAAACTACGAAATACAAAAAAATGTGTACCTAGTTCAATAAATAAATAAGTAATGTTGTACCTCCTACATGCTTCATCTTTTAAAAAAAGAATTTATTGGAGCAACCGCATAACATTTTTTAAATTGTTAAAACTTATCTGCCCAAATAGGGTTTACTTTATTTAAATTCTGTTTAGTAATTCAGTACACTATACTAGAGCTCACATCCCAGTAAGCACATGTACAGTTCATCACCGAGATCATCTGGAGAGCATTGTGTTCACTTTGATAATATTTGTGTACAAACATCTGATTACCATCTTAAGGAGCAGATTAACATATACAGTGCATTCTAACATCCGTTAGAATATTTGACAAAATTACAGATGAGCACATTAAAAATCTCCTTCCATGTATATATTTATGTATGTGTGTGTGTGTGTTATCTGGGTTCTCTTACGAGAGTATCTCTCGTACTGCGTAATAGCTTACGCTAGGGGAAAAACTCTTTTCCGCGAGATATTGAAGCCAAAAATTATCCTTAATTTTTTATTAATGTAAAACGCTTTGCAGCAGCAAGCAGACATAGGCGAAACAGCTCGCGCGCCTATTGGTTGCTCTGCAGCAAATGCAGCAGCCTATCGAGAGAGACTCTGCGTGACATAATGACCAATGGGGGCAATTCGCGCCCATATCGTCACGTCCCGCCAGAAGGGGCGTGGTCTCACCCTATAAATATGCTCGTTAGGCTGGTACAAGCTGATTTTTACCTCTTCAGCGAAGCACACGCATCGCTGGATCCGGAGTGAGAAGCCGCGCCGTCGAAGCAAGCCATTCAGCGGGACGAGCTCTGGACTCGCTGGCCTCGCCGCCTTCAACTGCCGTACCTGCTGCGCTTTCCGGCGTTCTATATCCTTTTATACTCTGTGTGTATTTACTCTGTTGAGAGTGTTTGCTCGCTTACTTGACGCGACTCACACTTCTCTCACAAAAGAGCTGCGTCTTTTTAAAGATGCCTTCCTGTGGCTCGTGCCGCGCCCCGCTCAGCGATGGAGACCGGCACGTCATCTGTGTTTCCTGCCTGGGTGAGGATTACGCGGCTCTCGCGCTCGCTGACGGCGGATGCCCTCATTGCGAGTTTTTGCCTATGGTGACTCTGAGGACTCGCCTGGCATCATTCTCCGAGCCTTCACCACAGCTGCCGTGGTGCCGCAAGAAGCGCCGCGCTCAGCGCGCTCCCGAGCTCTCTCCAGCCCGCCAAAGCTCGCCGGTTCGCCCGCCAGCTTCGCCGGCTTCGCTCGAGTCGCTCACTGACGGACAACGGCCGCCGCCTGCCGCCGCGTCCGTCCACGAGTTCGACGAACCCACCGAGGCGTGTTCTCTTCTGGCATCCGATAGCGAGGATTGGGCGAGCTCCGTGGACCTCCCCTCCGCTAGCGTTTCCCGCCAGACCACTGGTAAGAGAACCGGCATTGAGACTGAGCTGATGCGTCTGCTCTCTCAGGCCGTGGGAAGCATCGGCCTCGATTGGGAGGCGCCCGCGCAACCGCCGCGCAACAGGCGAGCTCTGTGGACCTCCGCCTTCTGTCCGCGAGTCGTCAAGGAAACGGGCCAGCATCAAGACCGCGAGCCCTAAAAACCGCGGCTAGCTTTCTTTACGTTATAAGAAATCTACCCCGCCCCCCATGGGCGTGCGTCACCGGCAAATGAGAAAAGAGTGTGTTTTAGTCCCCGCCGAGGCCGGACTAATCTCCATTTCTCAAACATTTCTCAGCTCCTAGTTTGAGCGGCTGAAAATGTCATTATTGCAGCAATGAGCCTGTTGTATAACATGCACACCTGCATACAAACGCCGACACACACAAAACTGTGATGACGCTCTCTTATCTGCTTGCAGTGTAGTTCTCCCTGTGGCCCAGTGGCGGAACCTGAAGCTTTCACGTGAGAGACCCGTGTTCGATCCCGGCTCTCGCAGCAGATAAAAATTTAGTCTCGCCGCGGCCAGACTTCCACCGAAACTTTTCGCTCGTTCAGTTGCAGAAAATGCGACTGTTCCAGTGTATTTTGCAGTAAACAAGCTGGTACCACGGCCCGCTTGCCTGCACATAAAGGCCGTTTCCATGGCGACCCAGAAAAATCATGTAATCTTTGTATTTCTGGTTTTCCGGCCACAGCCGATGGTGTTATAAGTGTAATAAAATGCTCACAGCCCAGTGTTCATTTCTACACACAAACACAGCCCGCCACGGTACAGGGCTCGCACAAATGAAATCGACGCATGTCAATTGTGCATTAAATGTAGTGAATGTGCCCACAACCCAGTGCCCACAAACACTACCACGGTTTCTGTAAAACGAAACCAACACAAGTCTTCCTAGCCTCCTAGGAAATCGACGGTGTTTCAGTCTCGCCGTGGCCAGACTTCCACTGAAATTTTCGCACGTTCAGTTCCAGAAAATGTGACTGTTCCAGTGTATTTTGCAGTAAGCAAGCCAGTACCATGCCCGCTTGCCTGCACTCAAATGCTGTTCCCACGGCGACCCAGATTAATCACATAAATGGTGTTTTTTCTGGTATTCCGGCCACAGCCGATGGTGTTATGAGTGTATTGAAAATGCCTACAACCCAGGGCTCATTTCTACACACAAACACAGCCCGCAAAAATGCAGGGCTCGCACAAACAATCCGGCCACGGCCGATGGTGTTATGAGTGTTGTAAGAATGCCCACCCAGTGCCCATTCCCACACCCAGACACAGCCCGCCACGGTGCAGGGCTAGCACAAATAAAATCGACTCAGGTCGATTGTGCAAACAATGTAGTAAACGCGCCCATGTCACCATGCCCGCTCACACTACATGCTGCGTGTCCCTTGGTTTCTGTAAAAACGAAACCAACACACATTCAGTCGGCCATGACCGACAATGTTTTCAGTGTAATAAATGTGCCCGCAGCCCCGCGCCCACATTTTCTCACAGACACGCCGATTCCTACGGGATCTCCCCCGCTCGCTTTTTCTGCACAATCTGCCATAAAAAAGTGATTTTTTATCCGCCCACTGTGATCAGCGCGCCCCCCGCCTCGAACGCTGTAAACACAGTATGTTGTGTTCCCAGTATGCCCGGGCTCTCGAGCTGCCGTTTTATCGCGGCCGGAGCCCGGATTTCATTCTACCTCTAGCTATTCACGCAGATGCGTGGTCAAAGCTTCCCGGGGTATCAGAATGGGTGCTGAACACTATAAAGAGAGGCTATTCGCTACAATTCGCTCGACGCCCGCGTGTCGAAACTACGGTGAAAAACGAAGTGTCTCATCTACTTCGTGCCGAGAAAGCGAAACTACTGAGCAAAGGGGCTATAGAACCTTTATCTCAGGCTCAGAGCGAAGGGGGCCTATACAGCAGATATTTTCTGGTACCGAAAAAGGATGGGGGTCTCAGACCCATTTTAGATCTACGACAGCTGAACAGAGTGCTTGTGAAACGCCAGTTCAGAATGCTTACGACCAGGAAAATCCTTGCGCAAGTGCGCCACGGGGACTGGTTTATGTCGATAGATCTGAAAGACGCCTATTTCCAAATACAAATAGCGTCCCATCACAGGCGATTCTTGAGATTCGCCTTCGAGGGCCAGGCATATCAATACACAGTCCTGCCGTTCGGCCTGTCCCTAGCACCTCGTACATTTACGAAGTGCATGGACGCGGCGCTCGCACCCCTGAGACTTCAGGGCATGCGAGTCCTGAACTACTTGGACGATTGGCTGATTCTAGCTCGATCACGATCGGAGCTCATAGAACACAGGGCCGCATTACTCGAGCACCTCGAGGAGCTGGGCCTCACAGTCAATTGGGCGAAGAGCTCACTGTCTCCCAGTCAGAAAATTTCCTTTCTGGGAACCGTGTTGGAGTCGCTGTCCATGACAGCACGCCTGTCACCAGAGCGCGGGCTAAATATTCAGCGCGGCGCGAAATCCTTCCGCCACGGCGCGATAGTTCCGCTCAAAAGGTTTCAGAAAATGCTGGGGCTGATGGCCTCAGCAGCCTCTGTACTCCAGTTGGGCTTGCTCCGCATGCGCCCACTGCAGATGTGGCTGAAAGCGCGGGTTCCACCCAGGGCATGGACAGCGGGTCTGTTTCGCCTCAGGGTCGACCTTCAGTGTGTTTCAGCTCTGGAACCTTGGAAAATAACCGACTGGTATCAGTCAGGTGTGAGTCTGGGGACCGCTTCGAGTGTGAAGGTGGTGTCTACGGACGCCTCCACCTCGGGGTGGGGAGCGCTGCTCGAGGGCAGACCGCTAGCTGGCCTGTGGTCAGAACGGGAAAAGCTCCTTCACATAAACTGCTTGGAGATGATAGCAGTCGCCAAAGCGCTACGGCGTTTTTGTCCCCAGGTAACAGGCCACCACGTCTTGGTCCGGTCGGACAACATGTCAGTGGTGGCATACATAAATCGCCAGGGCGGCGTCAGGTCACGAAACCTTCACAGGCTGACGGAACGCATCCTGGTCTGGGCTCAGCACAACCTGCTCTCACTGAGAGCAGCGCACGTGCCTGGTCACCTGAATGTGGGACCAGACAGACTGTCCAGGAACAATGTTCCAGCAGGGGAATGGTCGCTGCACCCGCAGACGGTCCAGCTGCTGTGGAAAACGTTTCGGCAGAGCACAGGTGGACCTATTCGCGTCCCACGAAAACACTCATTGCCCGGAGTTTTTCTCGAAAAGCAAGGACGCGCTGGCTCATGTTTGGCCCCGCTGCCCCCTATATAATTTTCCTCCTGTCTCGCTCCTGCCTCAGGTGTTGGAACGAATCAGGGAGAACAGATGCCCAGTGCTGCTCGTAGCTCCGCTCTGGACAAACCAGACGTGGTTCCCTGCCCTGATGCAGCTGACCAGCACTGCCCCATGGCCTGTACCATTGAGGAGAGACCTCCTCTCTCAGGCGGAGGGCTCGATTTGGCACCCTCGCCCGGAGTTGTGGTCCCTGCACGCATGGGCCATCAACGGGTACCCGCTAGCCTCCCAGAAGGAGTGTTAAACACGATCGCGCAGGCTAGAGCTCCGTCTACCAGGCGGCTCTACTCCTCGAAATGGTCTGTTTTCTCTGCATGGTGTCAAGCCCAGAGCTTTTCACCTGTGGAATGCGGGGTTTCGGAAGTGCTTTCCTTCCTTCAAGAGCTACTGGATAAGGGCAGGACCCCATCCACGCTCAAAGTATATGTGGCGGCCATAGCAACGTTTGCAAAACCGGTGTCTGGCCAGTCGCTGGGGAAAAACGACTTAGTCGTGCGTTTCCTTAGGGGAGCTCGGAGGCTGAACCCTCCCAGGCCCCCTTCAGTCCCGACGTGGGACCTTTCCACGGTCCTGGAGGCCATGAAAGGCGCCCCGTTCGAGCCAATCCAGCTGGTGGACATGAAACACCTGTCGTTCAAAACAGTGTTTCTCATGGCTCTCGCTTCAGTGAAGCGCATAGGGGACTTACAGGCGCTTTCAGTAAGCGCGTCGTGTATGGAGTTTGGGCCTAATGACTCGAAGGTCATTCTCAAACCAAAGCACGGGTATGTCCCGAAATCCCTCAATACACCGTTCAGGGCCCAGGTAATTTCCCTGTCCGCCCTTCCGGTTCTCAGTGAGGAGGAGGATGCGAGTCTCCTTTGCCCCGTCCGGGCATTGAGAGCTTATGTGTCACGCTCGTCTGTTTTCAGACAGACGGAGCAGCTTTTTGTTTTGTTTGGCGGGCGTTCCAAGGGACTCGCCGCCTCAAAACAGAGCCTATCCAGATGGATAGTGGATGCCATTGCGCTCGCTTACTCTGCGAAGGGCCTACAGTGCCCGTTGGGTGTCAGAGCGCGCTCCACGAGAGGCGTGGCCTCTTCGTGGGCGTGGTCGAGCGGGGTTTCCCTGCAAGATATCTGTACGGCCGTGGGCTGGGCCTCGCCGTCTACATTTATAAAATACTATAACCTGGAGGTACCCGCCTTACAAGCTAAGCTTTTGGCGGTCTAAAATTCAGTGCTATCTGCCCCGCTGTGCGGCCCAGATGCTGAGTTTACTGCAGCCCCATGAGTGTTGACACACGTATGGCCACCCAGATCAGGCTGAAAGCTTTCACCCTGGCTGCGCGTTTTATTGTCATATGATAGCCCCGCTGGGTGCTTTTTTATAGGGAATGACGCTTCCAGCCTCTCTTCCTCCACTCTATGTGAGTTTATGGTGATTATGCACTACATGAGCCCTGGGCTTCGGCCCCCGGGACTTTGGTGTTGGATCCCTGTACGCACGGCGTGTTGCATTGTGTTCCCCTAGCGTAAGCTATTACGCAGTACGAGAGATACTCTCGTAAGAGAACGTACTCGGTTACTAACGTAACCTCGGTTCTCTCTAGAGAGGGAACGAGTACTGCGTATCTTGCCGTGCTTGGAATACGCTCTGGTTCGCTTCAGCGATAAAAACCAGCTTGTACCAGCCTAACGAGCATATTTATAGGGTGAGACCACGCCCCTTCTGGCGGGACGTGACGATATGGGCGCGAATTGCCCCCATTGGTCATTATGTCACGCAGAGTCTCTCTCGATAGGCTGCTGCATTTGCTGCAGAGCAACCAATAGGCGCGCGAGCTGTTTCGCCTATGTCTGCTTGCTGCTGCAAAGCGTTTTACATCAATAAAAAATTAAGGATAATTTTTGGCTTCAATATCTCGCGGAAAAGAGTTTTTCCCCTAGCGTAAGCTATTACGCAGTACTCGTTCCCTCTCTAGAGAGAACCGAGGTTACGTTAGTAACCGAGTACGATTTCATGCAAAATACAAGATAAAAGGAGTAATGATGTGTTCTTAGAATCACAAATACAGGTGTTATACCCCTACATTTTTTACTATTTTAAAATTCATGTACTGAGATGGACACTGACCTGGAAGTGTTTGATGAAGAGAACAGATACAATGAAGCTGAGCACCAGAGAACCCAGAATCATAGAATTGCAGAACTGCAGTAGCCACACCAATAACAGACTCAACACCTGCATCAGGTACAGAGAGACCACCTGCAGAGAGAAAGAAATGAATATCCAACCTCACATGAACTCCAAAAGGTGGAAGGTCTCCAATATGTGTGTTTTAGCATCACCTGTTTCGCTGTGAAGAAGTCCAGGCAATCCAGAGTAAAGATTATAAGGGCCTGCACCAGCAGGACAAACTGATTGAATTGCCATGTCAAGCAGAAGCAGAAGGTGGAGACGAACACCAGCCACAGCACCACCCTCTGTGGTTGAAAGCATATGATGTTCGACTTAAACCCCCCAGACAACAAAACATACAAAAACCTTGTTCTTTCTTCAGAGCTCATACAATGAGAATTTTTTCAGTGATATACCATATGTCAGGAAAGCAATTAGAGTCTGTGCTGAGAGAACATACTGAGAGAGAACAAATATGTGTTCAGCAGAGTAAATATATCATAAATACATTTGAAATTCACAAAACTATTCCACAGCAGCAAGCAGTCAGAAACATTTATCTCAACTTACTGCCTTTTATTTTCCCTGTCTTTTTCGACGAGTTATTAGACTGGATTATATTTACTTTACATTTGTAATTTTTCTAAAACTTTCTCTTTCTAATTTAGAAATGACTTAACGCAAGCAATTTGTAGGTTCATTTCTGTAAACACTGAAGATTGTAAACACTGTGGCTCTGTGGTGCAATCACAACGGCCATGTCCCAAATGACACCCTTAGCCCTCAATGTCTTTCTCACAGTCCACACATTTGTGATGTAATGCTGCTTTGACTGTCAGGTAGAAGGTCCTAGCGGTCCGCTTTCCTGAAGAGGTTAGCTCCAACCCTAATCAAACACACCTGAACAAGCTAATCAAGGTCTTCAGGATTACTAGAAATGTACAGGCAAGTGAGTGTGATGGCAAAGTGGGAGCTAAACTCCACAGGAAAGTGGACCTTGAGGATCAGAGTTAAGAACCCCTGATCATGGTCTTGTGGACTTAAAGGACACATGTAATAGTCGGCAAGACCGCAAGTGCACATGAAATGTGTCATTTGGGACAGGACCAACATCCCAACCAGCACACTGTCTCAGTGTAAATTTGGGGAAGGGTTTTCTGTAGGGTTGGGGATTGAAAATCAATTCCAATTCTGGAATCGGATACTTGTTATAAAATCTAAATTTTGCTTATTGATTCCCGTGTGTGCGTTTTAATGTGATTTTTAACCATTCAGGTGCAAGAAGATGCGAAAGATAACTCGACTGCACTCGCACACTGTTATCTGCACAGGGCACATCCAGAGTGCGCACACAAAAAGCCACCTTTAATATAGTGCACGAATACCGAATTGAGTTCTCTTTTGTTTCTTCTTGCGCTTGAATGGATAAATACACAAAATTATGTCAAAATATCCTTGAAAACACAGTAAGTTATGTCTTAAGTGAACGTAAACAGTTGAGAAAGAAAACATGTGTAACAGTATATTGGATCCGTGCATTAGGTCTTAAAGTGACAGCAGCTAATAAACCTGCTACCATCTGTGCCATTAATGTAAATCAAACAACAAAGAAAAGAAAAAGAAAATCACTCATGTATCTTGACTGAATACCAGTTTTGTAAACTTAATAAGGATTAATCTTTATTACATTTATAAAAAAGAAAACTATGCAGTGTTATTTTGCATTTGATTTCAATTTCTGAATTTTGTTCAGTTGTATTTATTTGTGCTATTGCTAATTTGTTTATTTGTTCTTTTTGCATAACTGACTGTGAACTTGTCTTTAATAAATGTTAGAAATGAATATTAGTTAGTCTAGTTTATTAGTTAGTTGTTTTTAGGCTGCTGATTTTTGTTCATGGTATTCAGCTGCAACAAAGTTTTGTAAAAAGACAGAATACATATGTTTGATATCTAAATGTTTGACTTTTTTTCCCATATTGTAATCGAAACTGGGAATCGATAAGCATAATCAGAATTGGAATCGCTAAAATTCAAATGATACCAATCCTACTTCTCTGTTTATCCAAACAATGGGAGATGGGAGTGAGTGTTCAGCAATTGTTTGACGAGTTCACACTTACATACAATTAGAGTGGATTAGGTTTAATGCGTATTTGGCGTGCTGTCCGGGGGGGAGGGCTCCGAGCTCGGAGTTTGGCCCGAACCCAGAGTACTCCCCCTATGTAAGTGTTTAGGACTGGAAGTGTGGAGAAGGGGCGGTGGAGGGATGCTGCTAAACTATCAATGGAGTGAGGTGAGATTCCTGAATCTATATATACCTCTTATCATTGATTGCTGGGTGCACTCCACTCGTGTTAATTAACTGAACAAACTTTGTTAATAAAACATCATTTGGTGAAACTAGTGATGCAGAAATTACACACTTCAGTGTTTGATCCATCTCACATAACAGTGATCCGGAGGCAGTAGTTCTCCAGTCAACAGAACGCTGATACTGTGACAGCAGTTCTCGAGAATCGGTTCCAATCAATGGTTGCAACAGTTGTCGAGTCACCAGAAAACTGAACTGAGAACAGTCTTGCATTGTAGATAACTAATGAGTTAACTGCTGATACTATAAGCATGTGTGAACCAAGGACTAGCTCACATTGAACGAGTGAAATTTAAAATCAAAATGCATAGTACAGCTAGTTATATTAAACAACATCTTATTAAAACATGCAAAAACAGTTCAGTCAAGACATTTAAAAGAATTTTAATACTGAGTATGGTTTATGCAGGGTGTCTGTGTCACGGTTGGTAAATCCTATGTCTGCTCCTTGTCTCGTGGTTCTGTTATTGTATGTGTTGTGTGCTGATTAGAGGGGCGTGGCCGCTCATCAGCGCTCGTCAGCAATCACCCGTCATCAGCTGCAGTCTATCATTCATGTGTATATATTCTCATCAACTTCTCATCTCCTTTGTCAGATCGTTGTTTGTGGTTCCCGGTGTGTGTGTTCCCAGTCTTGTTCAGTCGTGTGCTTCTCTTGTTCCGGTTCTTGTTCGTTGGATGTTGGATTACTGTTCGTCGTTGGATTTTCACCACCACTACCACTACACGCTGCACTGTCTTCTGACCATTGGAGTCCCTGCGCTACTAACCTGTTTGCCTGGACTTTGGACTGCCTATCTATCCATCATTTCAATAAAAGAGTTAACTGCAATTGCTTCCGTTTGATCACTCATGACAGAACGATCTGACCAAAGCATGGAAGCAGCAGGAAACTCCTCGTGCTCACTGGACGATTTTGTGAGTAGCAGTATTCAACGAATGGACATTCAAGAAGATAATCTCAACGATACTGCTCGCGCTGTCCTTGCGTTAGTGGCGCAGGTGTCCGGGCTCACCCAACAGCTTCAACATCTTCGTGTTCCCACCGCGCCACTCCCGCCGCTGATTCCCCCATCACCACCAGCGGACCCATCCCAGTCAGAGCCTCGTCTTCCGGTCCCCGAGCCTTACTCAGGTGAAGCAAACTTCTGTCGAGCATTTTTAACCAGATGTTCTATGCATTTCTCCCTGCAACCAAAGACGTTTCAAAAAGAACAGACCAAGGTGGCATTCGTGCTGATGCTTCTGACTGGGAAAGCGGCGCTATGGGGAACAGCGGTGTGGGAGAACCAAGACGAATGCTGTTCCTCGTTCCAGAGGCTCTCCGAAGAGATGCGGCGAGTCTTTGACCGGGCCACGTCAGGAAGAGAGGCTGCAAGGGTACTGGCGGAACTTCGCCAAGGAGAGAGGTCCGTATCTGACTTTTCTATTGAATTGCGAACCCTGAGAGCCGATGGAACGAGGAGGCGCAGTGGGACATGTTCCTGCATGGGCTGGCTGACCGCGTCCAGAAGGAGATCTACGCCCTGGACCTGCCCACCGGACTTAACGATCTCATCGCGCTGGCTCTGAGAGTGGATGCACGGCTGTCTCGAGTCAGCAAAGGTTTTCACCCTGATCGTTTTCCTTGAGGGATCGAGGGGCAGCGTCCAGGAGGCGAGGGCGCGGTCAGCCCCATCCACGATCACGAGCCCATGCAGGTGGCTCGAGCCCGGCTTTCCTGGGAGGAGAAGGAGAGGCGGAGATCCCTGGGCCTTTGTCTATACTGTGGTGGAGCGGGACATTTCGCTTTCAATTGTCCGATTAAAAGGCCCAGCCCGGCAGTAAATATGAGGCTACTGTCGGGTGGGATCTCAGCCGAGAAGACCTCATCGACATCTACCTTCCTCCCGGTAAGGCTCCGATGGTCAACTCACCTCCACGATTGTCGGACACTACTGGACTCAGGGGCGGAGGGTAATTTCATGGACCATTCATTTGCACTAAGATTTCAAATTCCCCTCAAACCCCTTTCACACCAGATCGACGTTCACGCCCTCAATGGACAAAGACTCCCCACGATTTCACTGATCACCGAAGACATCACACTCATCACATCCGGCAATCATTCTGAGACTATTTCCTTTTACATTCTGGACACTCCACTAGCACCCATCGTTCTTGGTCACCCATGGCTCACCCGTCACAACCCCAAAATAGACTGGCAAATCAAATCGGTGGCATCATGGAGCAGTTTTTGTCATAAGTCCTGTCTTGTGTCTGCCTGTCCGTCTGTTCCTGTTCATGTGTTACAGGAGGAGACAGTGGATTTATCAAACGTGCCCACGGAGTATCGGGATCTGAAGGAGGTGTTCAGTAAGTCTCGGGCTGATTCTCTTCCTCCGCATCGTCCCTATGACTGTGCTATAGACTTACTGCCAGGTACGTCTCCGCCTAAGGGCAAGTTATATTCACTCTCTGTCCCAGAGAGAGAAGTCATGGAGAAATACATTTCTGATTCTCTAGCAACGGGATTCATCCGCCCTTCCTCTTCTCCACCAGGGGCGGGGTTCTTTTTTGTGGGGAAGAAAGATGGATCGTTGCGACCTTGTATTGATTACCGGGGGTTGAACAACATCACGGTAAAGAATACTTATCCTTTGCCGTTGATGTCTTCAGCTTTCCAGAGGTTGCAAGGAGCATCTATCTTCACAAAACTGGATTTAAGGAATGCTTATCATTTGGTCCGCATCAGGGAGGGGGATGAATGGAAGACTGCTTTTAACACCCCTAGGGGGCACTTTGAATATTTGGTTATGCCGTTCGGCCTTTCCAACTCCCCAGCGGTCTTCCAAGCACTTGTCAATGACGTGTTGCGAGACATGATCGATCAGTTCATATATGTCTACCTGGATGATATATTGATTTTTTTCTTCGTCTCTCCAGGAACACGTGCAACACGTTCGACGAGTGCTTCAGAGGTTGCTAGAGAATGGGCTTTTTGTCAAGGCGGAGAAATGCGTTTTTCATGCACAGTCCTGCACAGGATCCTGACAAGGTTAACCCTCTGGGAACCAGAAACGCGCCGGCGCGTTTTGCTCGTTTTTTTTCACATAGCAGAAAAATAGACTTAAAGTACTACCATCATTTCTGTTCATATAGAGTTAAGAAATATGAAAAAATAATCTGGTAAATGTCTACTTTTTTTATGTGCCCACATACAATCGAAATAAAATATTGTGCTTTTGTAAAATAAAGAAAATAAACAGGGTGTGCCTTCTGCCTCTCAGTCACCGTGAACTTTTTTTCTGGAGCACGTCTCTAATCTTCAACACAACTCAGCTAATACTATTCACCCAGCCATAAGCAATATATCTTTTAAATCATTTGAGTTTGTACTTTTAAATGATCCGATTCAAAACTAAAATTAATATTCTCCGTTTATGTCATCTATATAAAAAGAGAGACGTGTCAGCCCGTCTCATTATCGTTCTCGAGCTGATTATCTCTGGTAATGTGACATGCCCACGGAGAGCACGCGCTATTCAAATGCAAATATGTGAAGCAACACATTGAGACATGTTAACGCCCATAAACTCTGAAAACACACATTATTTTTTAATCAGATTAATCTACTGTCGTCTTGCGCGGCTATATGAGGAACAATCCTGGGACATTTACCACTGGGTTTATTTTCACTTCGAGGATGAACAGATTCAGCTGAGAAGAAAGTGTTTTTTGCAAGTGCTTTGTTCTAATCGCGATATAGAATAACGTAGTGTCTGTAAACGGAAAAATAGCATACTGTTTAAAATGTGAATCATGTTTGTGTGTGTGTGTGAATGAATGAATGAATGAATGAATGAATGAATGAATGAATGAATGAACGCACAGATACGCACTGTTACAGACTAAATAACAGACAACATTTCGTTGACTCGTTTTGGATAAAGTTTTTACTCTAAAATAGACATCAAATAAGTTTTTTTAGGAGTTTCTGCTCATATGTTAAATATATAGTATGTTTTGTCAATAAACTAATCAACTAAGATGTTATAGTGTTTGTTCAAGCTATATCAAAATAATGAATCCTCAACTTTGAAATATGTATGATCAAACTAAGACATTTATGGAGAAAGACAATTTTCTTTTCAAGATGTTTCCAACTCTAACTTTGAACTTTGAACTGAAATAAAACAATGTCTATATGGTGAAGGGTGTGTGATAGAAGTGTCCAGACGTATGCACCCTGTATTTTCCTTATATAAATCCAAACAATCTAAAAGCCATTCTTTTTTAAATCTCCTAATTCTTTGTGCAAGGCTCCTGTAATGATATGGCCTGATAGCACCTAATAGGGCCATTATGGGGAGGGTCTTTGTCTTTCTCAGGTGTGGAATGCCACACATATTAATGAGAGATCACGCCTCCTGCATACAGCTTTCTCAAACAAAACACGTCATTAAAAATGTAAAAGACTTTATTGACTTATCTGAATGAGTAGTCAGGATGATTCTCACATAGTTTTGGAGCAAATATTCTAGGCTATGTGATACAATTTTCAAAAGTCTTGTGAAGAAATAATCAATATGTGTTTTGTGGTCTTATTTCAGCAACTTTCATTTTTATTTTTTTCAATAACCACGCATAAACATTATTCTATTAAAAATACAAACATGTACATACATGTCGCTCAGATATCATGGTAGCCAAGTTTGTGCTATATAGAGTGAATTTACACCTTTGCCATTAACATGTTTATAAATAACTGAAAAAAGCACAAATGTCAGTGAATGTCAAAACATCCCAAGGGCCCCAAAAACACTCTGGTCCCCAGAGGGTTAAGGCTGTGGTGAATTGGCCAAGTCCAGATTCCCGTAAGGCCCTACTGAGGTTTCTGGGGTTCGCCAATTTTTACCGGCGTTTTATTCGCAATTTCAGCCGACTAGCCGCGCCTCTGACCGCCTTGACCTCCCCCAGAACGACGTTCAGGTGGTCAGACGCAGCAGAAGCTGCGTTTGCCAAACTGAAGGTATGCTTCGTTTCAGCCCCCATCCTGATAACCCCTGATCCATCACGTCAGTTCGTGGTGGAGGTCGATGCGTCAGAGGTGGGGGTAGGTGCAGTGTTATCCCAGCGCTCTCCTTCAGACGACAAGATGCACCCTTGCGCGTTTTTTTCGCATCGTTTATCCCCTGCCGAAAGCAATTATGACATTGGCAACAGAGAGTTGTTGGCGGTCAAGTTAGCTTTGGAGGAGTGGCGCCACTGGTTAGAAGGGTCAGGGGCACCTTTTATCGTCTGGACCGACCACAAGAATCTGGAATACATTCGTACTGCTAAAAGACTTAATTCCAGGCAGGCTCGGTGGGCTCTTTTTTTCGGACGTTTTGACTTTACTCTCTCGTACCGCCCGGGTTCCAAAAACATCAAACACGATTCTTTATCGCGCATTTTTGACCGTTCCGATCGCCCGTCTACTCCCGAGTGCATTTTACCAGAGAATCTATTCATCTCTACACTCACATGGGAGGTCGAATCGAAGGTCAAGAAGGCCTTAGAAGGGGTAACGCCTCCGACTCGTTGTCCACCGAACCGTTTGTTTGTGCCGGAGAGTTTACGGTCCAGCGTCATTCAGTGGGGTCATTGTTCCAATGTGGCTTGTCATCCAGGAGTCAATCGTACTATGTTTTTGGTTAAGCAACGATTCTGGTGGCCTCTCATGGCTCGTGACGTTCACAGTTTTGTATTGGCTTGCTCAGTTTGTGCCACGGGTAAGACTTCCAATCAACCTCCAGATGGGTTACTCCAACCGCTGCCGGTGCCTTCGAGACCCTGGTCCCATATCGCGCTAGATTTTATCACCGCCCTCCCACCCTCCCAGGGTCACACGGTAGTTTTGACCGTGGTGGACCGGTTCTCGAAGGCGGCCCATTTCATTCCCTTGCCCAAATTACCTTCAGCCAAGGAGACAGCGTTGGTTGTCGTTGACCACATCTTTCGGCTTCATGGCCTCCCGACAGACGTGGTTTCTAACAGAGGACCCCAATTTGTGTCCAAATTTTGGCGAGAGTTTTATAAACTTCTGGGGGCGACTGTCAGTCTGTCCTCTGGGTTCCATCCCCAGAGCAATGGTCAAACTGAGCGAGCCAACCAAGATTTGGAGAGAACGTTGCGATGTTTAGTGTCCAAGAATCCTTCCTCCTGGAGTCAGCAATTGTCTTTGGTGGAGTACGCCCACAACACGTTGCCAGTGTCATCCATGGGCCTATCACCATTTGAGTGTAGTGTAGGTTACCAGCCACCAATTTTTTCTAGTCTGGAATCCGAAGTCGCGGTCCCCTCCGCCCACGCCTTCGTCCAGAGGTGTTACCGCACTTGGACTAGAGCCCGTGAGACTCTACTCTAAGTGGGGGCGCGCACCAAGGCCAAAGCCGATCACCACCGGCGGAGGCCTCCCGTATACGTCGTCGGTTCTAAAGTGTGGCTTTCTACCAAGGACATTCCTCTCCGCTCCGTTTCAAATAAGCTTGCACCTAAATTTATCGGCCCATTCTCTGTCACCAAAATCATTAGTCCGGTGACAGTCCGCCTTAATCTTCCCCCAGTGTACAGGAGGATTCATCCCGTCTTTCACGTTTCCAAAATTAAGCCCGTATTTTTTGCTCGTATTAATCCGCCTTTCCCGGTCCCCCCCCCCCCGCCGCGTCTGGTAGATGGGGAACCTACTTATTCGGTCAATCGTGTTCTGGACTCGAGACGGAGGGGGCGCGGATTCCAGTACTTGGTGGACTGGGAAGGTTACGGTCCGGAGGAGAGAAGTTGGGTACCGGCTAGAGACATCCTGGATCACTCCCTTATCGATGATTACAATCGGCAGGTAAGGGAGTCTGGGAACGCCAGGAGGCGTTCCTAGGGAAGGGGGTCCTGTCACGGTTGGTAAATCCTATGTCTGCTCCTTGTCTCGTGGTTCTGTTATTGTATGTGTTGTGTGCTGATTAGAGGGGCGTGGCCGCTCATCAGCGCTCGTCAGCAATCACCCGTCATCAGCTGCAGTCTATCATTCATGTGTATATATTCTCATCAACTTCTCATCTCCTTTGTCAGATCGTTGTTTGTGGTTCCCGGTGTGTGTGTTCCCAGTCTTGTTCAGTCGTGTGCTTCTCTTGTTCCGGTTCTTGTTCGTTGGATGTTGGATTACTGTTCGTCGTTGGATTTTCACCACCACTACCACTACACGCTGCACTGTCTTCTGACCATTGGAGTCCCTGCGCTACTAACCTGTTTGCCTGGACTTTGGACTGCCTATCTATCCATCATTTCAATAAAAGAGTTAACTGCAATTGCTTCCGTTTGATCACTCATGACAGTCTGATTGTATTTTTTTCCCTGCCGGGGTGATAGCGTTACATATCAATAACGTCATTATGTGATGATGTGAAAGAACCGTTGAATACATTTTTTTTAACCAGAAACAAGCTGTTCGAAAGAACAAATTCACTAAAAAGAATTGGACTTCCCATCAATAATGGATATCATTTGATAGTGGTTACTGAATAGACATCTAAATTTATGAGGACAGACGATTACCTGGTGAATAGGTTTTAGCTGTGGCCTTAAGTAGCAGGTTATGGCAGCCACCTGAAGAGCAAAGAAAGGTATTGACCAGTTCTCCCTTAGAGAGATGGTAAACTCCACGCGTGTGGTGTCCACTCTGTACACAAATGAAGAATGCAATCAAGCACAAAGAAAAAACACAGGCACAAGAAGAAAAAAAAAAGACTTAATGTGTCATTTTTTCAATGCTGCGATATGTTCTACAATTCCAGCTTAAAATGCAGAGAAGTCATTCGTGAGTTTCCTAAAAATGTGTTATGTAATCAAAACATTGCTCTTTTTGATTGAGCTTCCATGCCAACTCAAACAATAGTTTGGGGTGTGGACTATCTGTATCTGTATTATTTTGAACATTAAATACTGACATTGTACATACATCCTAATATCCTAAAGCCCTAAATGTCCTTGAGAGATTGAAACCATATTTTAGAGAAACATATCGGCATTCACAATTACCTAAATACAGATACTCACTGCATCACAATAAGCATTTATTCACACCAGATTGCAAAGGTGAGATTTGTGTGCATGAAAGATTGATTGTAATCTTGTTGAGCGCACACATACCTGTTCAGAATGTACCAGACTCCACTGAGGGCCCCAGCCAGCCATGAGTCACTGAGTAACCAGCTAGTGATAAAGAGAGCGAAGACATACACTGTCTGCAAAGCAAACACTGTGTAGATGTAGAAATAAATTGGCTCCAAGTAGGTCTGCAAAATAAACACACAGGTTGGAAAAGCCCAAGACAATCTATACATCTTACTAAGAAAACAGAAGTGATTGAACACCTGTATTGGAAGTATTCTGTACAAAATGCTAAGGAACACTTCCTGGTAGATGTTCATACGCTGTAGGATGTTTATTGTCCTCTTGGATTCAGTAGTGTTGTCATGAATAAGCTCATAAAGACCTGTGAACATAAGAACACACACAACCCCAGTAAACTTTGACTGTTACGCTTAGCATGAACTCAAAACTAATTTAATTAGTCCTAACTCTTACTTAACTCTTAACTTAGTTTTCACACACACACACACAAAAAAAAGGTTTCAAGCCAGTTATTTACACTCACCGGCCACTTTATTAGGTACCCCATGCTAGTAACGGGTTGGACCCCCTTTTGCCTTCAGAACTGCCTCAATTCTTCGTGGCATAGATTCAACAAGGTGCTGGAAGCATTCCTCAGGGAGTTTGGTCCATATTGACATGATGGCATCACACAGTTGCCGCAGATTTGTCGGCTGCACATCCATGATGCGAATCTCCCGTTCCACCACATCCCAAAGATGCTCTATTGGGTTGAGATCTGGTGACTGTGGAGGCCATTTTAGTACAGTGAACTCATTGTCATGTTCAAGAAACCAATTTGAAATGATTAGAGCTTTGTGACATGGTGGAAGTAGCCATAAGAGGATGGGTACATGGTGGCCATAAAGGGATGGACATGGTCAGAAACAATGCTCAGGTAGGCCGTGGCATTTAAACGATGCCCAATTGGCACTAAGCGGCCTAAAGTGTGCCAGGAAAACATCCCCCACACCATTACACCACCACCACCAGCCTGCACAGTGGTAACAAGGCATGATGGTTCCATGTTCTCATTCTGTTTACGCCAAATTCTGACTCTAACATCTGAATGTCTCAACAGAAATCGAGACTCATCAGACCAGGCAACATTTTTCCAGTCTTCAACTGTTCAATTTTGGTGAGCTCTTGCAAATTGTAGCCTCTTTTTCCTATTTGTAGTGGAGATGAGTGGTACCCGGTGGAGTCTTCTGCTGTTGTAGCCCATCCGCCTCAAGGTTGTGCGTGTTGTGGCTTCACAAATGCTTTGCTGCATACCTCGGTTGTAACGAGTGGTTATTTCAGTCACTGTTGCCCTTCTATCAGCTCGAACCAGTCTGGCCATTCTCCTCTGACCTCTGGCATCAACAAGGCATTTCCGCCCACAGAACTGCCGCTCACTGGATGTTTTTTCTTTTTCGGACCATTCTCTGTAAACCCTAGAGATGGTTGTGCGTGAAAATCCCAGTAGATTAGCAGTTTCTGAAATACTCAGACCAGCCCTTCTGGCACCAACAATCATGCCACGTTCAAAGTCACTCAAATCACCTTTCTTCCCCATACTGATGCTCGGTTTGAACTGCAGGAGATTGTCTTGACCATGTCTACATGCCTAAATGCACTGAGTTGCCGCCATGTGATTGGCTGCTTAGAAATTAAGTGTTAACGAGCAGTTGGACAGGTGTACCTAATAAAGTGGCCGCTGAGTGTATATATATATATATGCACTAAGCACTCAGAATTCTTTGATTAATATAAAATTCTAAAGAACAGTATTTATTTGAAATCGAAATCGTTTGACATTATAATATTATGAAAGTCTTTAATCTTCACTGTCACTTTTGATTAATTTAACTGACATGCTTAGTACATGAAGTACACTTAATTACAATCTTGATACACTTTATTTTACGTAGCTTATCCCTGTGTAATATTATGTAATTGCAATGTAATTAGGAAGCTACCGCATGTATTTAAGCAGAGAACTAGTGAGTTAATTGAAACTAAAGTACATATGGATAAGGTATGTAGATACACATGAAGTACACTTAAGTACAATCTTGATACACTTTATTTTACGTCGCTTATACCTGTGTAATATTCTGTAAATGTAATGTAACTAAGAAGCTACTGCATGTATTTAAGCTGTGAACTAGTAGGTTAATTCAAATGGATAAGGTATGTAGATACACATGAAGTGCACTTAAGTACAACCTTGATACACTTTATTTTATGTTACATACGTGTAACAGCCTACAGAAGGTACAAAATGACCATGTGTAACTGCAGGCTTTTTTCACACCTTAGTAAAATATTTAAGTACTTGTTACATTGAGTAGTACAAAGTACTTTCTTATATAATTACATTGTACCAAGTCGGTAACACGCATGTAACCGACTCGGCCTGTTACATATGTGTAACAGTAGCTGCCTATTACATGTGTGTAATTACAATCTGTAAGCACAGGCTGTTCCATAACTTAGTTACATGTTAATTATATTTTGTTACATGTTATTACAACGTCTACTACTAAGTAATTAATTAAGTAATTACTCTGTATCACGGACACCGTAAAATAAAGTGTTACCGACTTTTTTGACAAAATGTATTAGTATATTTTGCCTTTGTATAGCAGTTTGGCTTATATAATAATTAGAGCTCCTATGCAGACAATAATTCTTTGATAATACTTACTTACAATACAACAATGATTTGAAAGGTGTTCACTATTGTAAATGTGGGTCGAAATTACCACTAAATGGAATAATGGAAGAGAATTTCAAAATTTCAAAACAACCTCAACTTTCTTTATACTACTGCAGATAATACTACAGCTGTGACATTTTACAGTAATCAATTTCAGTGATTGCTTAATACAAAAGCAATGTTCTGAACATGCTTTTACATACTATAAGTACAAAGGCCCAATTGTAGTGGTGTCTAGAGAACAGCTTTTGGCATCGCTGCGGTTCTTACCATTTCAATCTCAAAGGGCAATGACCTAATTGTATTTGTTTTTCAGTGTAGGAGCACAAAGAAAATCCATTCCAAATGGGGCTGTTAAGCCAATTAGCATGAGCAAAGACCATTTAGAGCAAAGTTGTGCATTTCCTTTCCATTTTCTGAGACCAGTCACACTGATATGGTTACGTAATGAGACATTCCTTCGATAGCTCTCAGATTACATAAGTGATAATGGAAACCAAACAGCATAGTACAAGAAAATTGCTGTTATGGACAGAGCTAAAACAAAAAAAAGCTTAGGCCTAGTAAGAAAATGGGATCATAGTAATGATCATACTTGAAAATGTTTTACACTTACAGACAGTGATTATAAAATAATAACTGCCCTATAGGAGCAATATTACTACATAAAAAAAAACTAAGAACTAGAATAGTTCACCCTATAATGAAAATTAAGTCTTCATTTACTCACCCTGTTGTTGGTCTATAGGCATTTGACTTTCTTTCTTTTATGGACCACAAAAGGACAATTTTACAATTTTTTAAAGTGTTCTTGCGCTCATCCATATAATAGCAGTGAATGACAGTGAATAGAAGCATCAAGATTTGTAAAAAATTGCAAAAAGTATCACAGAATTATCCCATGCAACACACTGTATATTCCAAGTGTTCTGGGGGTATAAAATAGGCTTTAGTGGAAAAACAAACAGAAATTGTATGTATTATTCAACAAAATTCTTGACCTTGGCCGTTGCTCCTTAGTGCACGGCTACACACAGTACACGTTCCTAAGATTCTATTAGCGCTGCAGTTCACTCCTCGCTCAGAAAAAAACAATTCATGAGGAATCAAGATAAAAGCAAAACACAACATTAAATACAACACCTAGAATTCCCCCCCAAAAAAGTATCTGTGCATCTTCTTCACTAAGTCCAATATCACCAGACCGGAACTCCGTTTGTCTGACAGATGTGAACACAATAACTCCTTGTTGTGATGAACACAACAGATATATTCACCTCAGAGAAGAAGGTACATTAGATGTTTGGCTATTTTATGTCTCATTTTTGTTAATCTTGATTTCTCACAGGTTTGATTTTCACTAAACCATTTCATATACTCCAAGAACACTTGGAATCTACGGCATGCGTCACATGATATTTTACAAAGCTTGATACTGGTTGGTATTCACTGCCATTAAATGGTCCGTTGTGGTCCAAATGCCATTGTGGTCCATAAAAGAAAGAAGGCCATACGGCATTAGAACAACACCAGGGTGGGTATGTGGGATGACATTATGCAAGGGTGATCGTAGAGTCGTATCTTGTGAGTAGATATCTTTACCTTGCTGTACAGAAGGGGCCTTCAACATCTGTTTGTAGTAGGAGTAATAAAGGCCACATTCTGTCCGGAAGGAGATTTCACGCTCGACTTCCTACAAATGCAAGAAGAGAGGATAAGATTCAGTAAAAATGAACTATGACAAGAAGCACAACAGGAGTAAATGGTGTCAAAATGAAATACATTTCCCATCTGAAAAAGAAATCAGTGCAGCTATCTGCCCAGAATAAACTGAGATTTCATTCGCAATAAAAGCCTCGAGGAAGAAAAAAACAGGTGTTGTAAATATGGTTTTATAGTGGAAGCTGTTTTCAGAACTAAACAACATCCCGACAAAAAAAGATCCATATGCTCCTCAAGATTAGAATTGCATGACATTTGGTTTTGGTTTGAAGAGACGTGTTACACTTTTATTTTTCTTAATAAAACAGCCTTAAACCTTTTTCTTCTGAAAAACTCAAACTCAAAAAAGTATAATAATGACTTGAGTACTATAGAATATAACACAATGGAGAGATAACACAACTGAACAAGTGACCAATACTGCTTGTCCTTACACAAAGAGCACACATTCACATCTTCATTCCACAACATTTCTTAGCAACAAAGATCAAGACAGATCCTGCTTCTGCTTACCTTTAAGTGTGAAAACCACAGCAGGTTCTCGTGTATAGAATAAACACACCATGCATGAAACAGCCCAATAACCCCTGCCAACAGTAATCCTGCTGCTATGACAACAGCCGGCCAACAGTTTTGTCCAGAAATGTGATTCCATGAATGCTTTAGGCACTCTTCTGTGCCCCTCTGCCCACTCTTGTAATCCCTCGGATTGTCTTTTGCCCCAAACTTTAGCAAAGGTGGTCTATCCAGGGCGGTCCCTACATTATCATTCGAATTGCTCTTCCTCCTGCTACGAACCCTCATTCTCAAGGACTATTATCCTACGTCTTTCCAGTCTTTCCTAAATGTCCCTCTCTCTTTCCCTGTTTGAGACCGCAAGCTCTTTTGTTTATCGGTCTTTCCAGAATTTCATGCCCAAAAACTTCATAGCACATGTATTAAAACAATAAAACAAAACCTCATGAGATCATTCTAAGCTCCAGTCGCCACCAAACAGCAATCTGCCGGAGGAACATTTTACATGTGATCAGAGAGGGGCTGAGACAGGGGGAAAGGCATGTGGGCCGCACAACTGGTGACCTCTTGAAAGTCAGGGAAAAAATATATAAAAAAGAAGGGGGAAAAAAAGCTTGGAACATCATTAAAAAAAAAAGGTTTAAGAGCATTTGCAAAAACAGTTATTTGAACAAACGATGGAACAATGTCCAGCTTGAAATTAAGACCGTCGTGGACATGACTTCATACGCAACGCATTTAGGAGCGTCCCAAAAGCATTTGTCTCCTGCTGTAGTGCGGCGTCCCAGAGGAAAAACAAACACGTGACTTCAAACGCCTTTGTTCAAAAATCATGGCAATATCGTCAATTACGAAACTTAAGATACCAACAACACCTGCTGAGAACATTTACAAAGCCCCTGTGAAATTTACCGCTGGTTTCCATTAGAAAAGTGGAAACGATTATAAAAATAACATGGAATCTGTGTTTCTAACATGGCTCTCTGCAGTAACATTTGATTAGCTGCTAACCACATTCCCACAGGTCTTCCTCTGAAACAGAACAGGTGATTTATTTGCCTGCAAATAAAGCACACTCTTCCTCAAATGCTCACTTGAGGCTTTCTTCAACCGAAGAATGAAAGAAACATATGGGGACAAAAGCTGTGGTCATCCAGTCCCTAAAGCTTCCAGTCACGTTCCGAAAAGCAAGAGTGCAGATGAAAGTAGGATGACTCATAAGCAAGTCATAAATACCAGCCAGCGTGCATGAGTTTCCTTTTTCCACTGCTGTCGCACTCTGACTTAATTTTAAACCTGAGATGACCTTTTGTGCTATGCATTCCACGTGCACCACTATATAAACCAGGCGTAACTGTTATGTCTCATATATAAAAATAATTATTACTATTACAGCAGTGTCTCCTTCATCTGGACCCCATTTTAGAGCTTGGAGTCTCTATTAACAAGTTGAATCTGGTGGGTTTAATTAGGAAGAAAACCAAAATGTTTAGTGATGGGGTCCTCCAGAAATTGGGTTTAGAATCATTCGTTTACAGTGTCAAATTTATGTTGCGTCTTTAGCCTAGATGAAGAATGTACCGTACTGTAATCAGGAACTCGTTCAGGATACAGTAATTATTAAATATGCTCTTCAGACTAAATGTTCTTCAAAGAATCCTGACATCACATTCTGAAAGAAAAGGGCTCTTATCTGGTGTTATGAAGTGTAGTGCATTGTCAATCAGAGTATTTATGAGATGCAGTGTGTTCTGAGAAGAAAAATAATCTGAGCAAAAAATGTTCAATGCTTGCATAAAAGCAGCAGGTTTGGCTGCTGTTAGCTTCACTAAATGAAAACTAGGCCTTGGTTCCACAAGTAACATTAAAATAAAAAAATAAAAAGGGCTCTCAAATTGCATGGCACCATAAATAAATAAAATAAATAAATAAATGGTGATTTATTGCAAAATCAGCGGCGGTAAATCCTGCATTGATTGGGAGATGTGGTTAAACTACTCCTGATCTGCTTTATTTTAATGAGCGATCTGGGATAGATGGACATGCTGATTTATCCAACTGAACATGACATAACTTTTTTGGCATGGTGGTTTCATCTGTTTTAGGTCTGGAAGTCATAACATGATCTGCAGCGCAAACTCTGGCTAAATGTTTATGTGACTGTTATGCCAAAGAGGGAAATTATCTTTCAGCACATATGGAAAACAATTATTTTACAAGAGGAAATGCATGAAAAATAGGACAGATGAGAACACCATCACTGACTAAACGCAACCACACATTATGAATCTAGATCTCTTGAGCTGTTATTTATATTAGTCAAGTAGCCTAAGAACACTACAAAGAAAAGACCTCTGTCTTTTCACCAAAGACCGAAAAGAAAATGAATCCCAAATGGAAGGTTGTATCACTTTGTTTCAGAACACTGAACATAAAAAGCTCTTTACCTTTATATTGGAAAACCACAGGTCATTTTCATGAAGTGTAGCCACATAGATGCAGCATAGCAAGCCCAGACTAACTCCCACTATTGAGCCAATGGTTATACACAATATTGTCCACCATGAGAATCCACCTGGAGAGAAAGACAACATTATCACTTGGAGTCGGACCACAATATTAAACAATCCACATGGTAAACAAGAGACATGCACACTGATCTATGGTCAATATTATATGGCTATTTATGTATAATATTTGTATACTGTATTAGCCTATTCATTTTGGTAACACTTTATTTTGATGGTCCCCTTTAGACATTCTGTTGACTATAAGTTATGTTGCACCTACATGTCAATTAACTCTCATTAGAGTATTGGTTTAGTGTTAGTAGGCTGTTAGGGGTAGGGGAAGGATTAGAAGAATAAGGGGTTAGGGTTAGTAGAATAAGCTGGCATGCACTTTCAAAGTGACTTAATGTCAGTAGAATGTCGGTTGGACGAGCATCACAATAAAGTGTTAGCAGATTTTAAGCAGACAGTCTACTAATAATCTACTAATACTCTAATGAAAGTTAGTTGACATGTAGGTGCAACGCAACATATAATCAACAGAATGTATAAAGAGGACCATCAAAATAAAGTGCAACCTTTATTTTTGTTATTATATTATATAAAACTATGCCTAATGTATAAAAGTGTTTTGCACTTTGATACATGTAAACAATCGTTAAATACTTTACATGCTGATATTCACATCTCAAGGCTCTGGCTTAAACTTAAAGGGATACTCCACCCAAAAAAAAAAAGAAAATTCACTCACCCTCATGCCGTCCCAAATATAGATGATTTTCTTTCTTCAGATGAACACAAATGAATTTTATATAGAAAACTAATCCATCTCTGTGAGTCCACATAATGCAAATGAATAGTAACTTAAAATTTCACGTTTCAAAAACCAAACAAAGCGATTATGACGGTAACCCATACAATCCTAGGGGATGAATAAATGTCTTCTGAATTTCACAGATTAGTCCCAAACTAAAATACATGTTTGAGCTGTTTTAACTGAAAGCAACTTGCACTGGCATTTCTTAAAATATGTCAGTGCTATTGTTTTGTCTCAATATTCACACCAGTAATGGGTTTTTTTCTAAGGTACGTTTAAAAAAATTAAAATAAAAAAAATAACCTACTTAAATGTCCTAATTTAACTGAGGACTAATCCTGTCTAAATCTGAACCCTGTCTGTGAAACCGGGCCCTATGTTTTGCTTCAAAATTATTCATGAACTAGAATACTATAGGTTACCATTGTAATCGCTTGCGTGGTTTATGAAGCTTCAAATTTTGTATTGCTATTTACTTGAATTATATCGCTCACAGCGGATAATTATTTTTCTAAAGTGTGTGTGTGTGTGTGTTCATCTAAAGAAAGAAATCCATATACATCTGGGACGACATGATGGTACGGTAAATTATGAAAAATGTTTCATTTTTGGGTGGAGTATCCCCTTAAATGTACTCATCTACTTCTGTAACAAACAGCACTGACCTGTTGCAAACCACTCTCTAGGTTCAGTTATACACTCTGGCTTCAGGTTCTGAATGCCGGGCCCCGGCTCCTTCCCTTTGCTGCCCTTCCTCTGCCTGACGGCAGTCATTCTGGAAAACAGGCTTCCTAGTGAAATATAAGTTCAATAATGATGACAAAAGACATGTTTTATATACTGTGAAGTACTGTAAAGTAAAGTATATTGTGTGTAAAATCGTTTTTGTGACGTAAACAAATAACATCTAAAATAAATGACAGGACTTATTATGGTTACCTCCTCAGTCTAACACAGTTATATGTACTGTATATTATAGTGTTTACTGACAAACCTGCAATTACTATTTGAAAAGGCTTCTTATATACCAACAACACATAGGCTGAAGACACCCCAAGCTTTAATTAGGGAGGGCTGGTCCATAATTTGCACCCTGGTTTTGAGTAAATGATTATGAGATAATACTGTAGTCCACATAACGATAGCATAATACAGCAGCTGTTACACGTATAAAATGAGACAGACATTACTCAATCAGCAAGCTATTCAAAACAATGATTAAAACCCCGCCTCTTGCTGTGTTGACAAACACTTCACTGGGATACAACGATCCGTACTTATACCGGAAACACAAGAGCTAACGGTGTCAATTGTCTCCATCCATATTGACACTTTCGCGAACTACACGCAAGTTCAACAGCCAGAGAGCGTCCGTTACAAAACAAAAGAGCGCACTCGTGGTTATGCTCGCACGGACCGCGATACAAAACAATAAAGCATCTCTCCGCGCTTGTTTCATTCATTCATTCATTGGCAGGCCTGTGTTTTGCAGCGGCGTTTCCTGCTCACAGCTCAGCAACAATGTCAGGAGATCTCAGATCGCATCAGCAGCTGATCTCGGTCTCCAGCAAGGGGACAGACGGCTGTCTGCTGCCTCGGCTCGCTCGTTCTCCATCCTTTGCACTCACTGTAAAACAATGCACATTAATGCAATAATGCTTGCGCGTATCTCACCCTGTTCAATGAAGCTCGTAGTTCCTTATCGGATGTCCGGTAGCTCCTCCTCCCTCACGGACACTCGCCTCCAGCCAGCGAGCGGTGCATAAAGACAAACCACTTCTCCATACAATTAACGGGGGAGAAAATGAAATGAAGATAGAACATTAAATCCGCAAGCAGTTCGTTAAATCAGGGCGGTGTTGTTCCTATTCTGCAGATTGACAGCATGCAGCGCCGCCTCGTAGAAAAACGAACGGCTTTAAATGAGCGCGAGCGCATTCACATTCACACACCCTCCTGGGAGACTCTACACCTCTTGAGTAACCTGTTGAACAGAGCTGCCCCGGGACGCATGATCGTGATTCGTGACACACCCATAACGGCCAACTGCTCTGGATAATTTATTTTATAGCCTATGGTAACTACTAAACTGCAGTATGGGGATAGAACAATTTAAAGTTCGTTTTAAGTAATGGTGCTTATATTTTCTGTCGCAACAATGGCATGAAAATGCTGTCACTCGTGTTGTGTCTGATTTTTAATTTCTCAAATTTTAAGTTGGTCCTTAGCCGAGCCAGAGAACCAAAATGGGTAGGCCTACATCAAATAGGCTAGTGTCACACTATCTATGGTTATATTTTATCAAACATTTAGCCTAGATGAGGCTGAAAATGAGTTTGAATCTGTGATCATTAATCGATTGATTTAAGTGAATGTTGAATTTGTTAATATGGCCTATAATAAATATTTGACATTGTAGGCTACTTAGTGATCGACAGCCAAAGAAAAGCAAAAACTTGTGTTATAGCTACACTCAAAATACCTCATGTAGCCTATTTTATTTATGTGTTTTTTTTAGATGACATGTAGGCCTATCTATCTAATCATGTTTGTTGCATGTAATCAGACTCATAATTATGAACCAATGTGATTTTCCACAGACCCAAACTTGACTACATTATAGGCTAGTGACAAAATGTAATTTTCCTTCAAATCATTTTATATTAAAACAATGTGTTTTCCGAGAGTTTTCTGAGAGTCTAACTTATTACATTGACCTAATGTGATTTCTCCAAAGCAAAATATTATTGCCTATATTAATTGAGAATCTATACGGATTATTTGTAAATAAATATAAAATAATATAATTTGCCACACTGCTGGACTATAAACAGAGTAAATAATTATAAATAATTACGAGAAAACTAGAAAGTTAAAAGGTGATTAAAATGATGACATGTTGTCACAGCCTCTACACTCGTTTCCCTTAAATTTGAAATTAAACTGTTGAAAAAAAAACATCTCATTATTTGTACGTAACAATGGTGATTTGAGATTAACCGCATCCTTGTCACTGATTGTGCTCTGTTTGAGATGCCATTTGCTGAATGAATTATGCATATTAATTTGTTTACAATTGTGAGAATAATGTGTGCAACCATGGTAACCATGGTTTGTTTCCCTTTTGTGTGGGTATGCCTCAGATATGTACTCTGAGCAGTTTAACTCTAGCAGCAGGAGTCCATTTATACACCAAACCCTGTTTGACTGCAATTTGACTACTGTTGCTATGGCTGCCACAGCCTTCAACACCAGTAAGGCTGAATACTCCCATCTGCGGTGAAAGAAAACGTTTTTTTCTTTTAGCATACAAACTTTAATTAAATGACTCCGTTGAAAGCATGTCTTCCTCTTCATCATCATCCAGTGAAAGCAACAGCAGAGCAACATCGAGGGAAGATTTAAAAGGCAAGTGGTCCAACTCCTCATTCAGAGTTTAGAAAGGAAAATGAAGTGTCCTTTTAAATTTGTATGCTTCTTTTTCACCATTATATTCAGCTAAACACACTCGTTGTGCTGCCTTTGGTATTTGGTCCTGCTTTTATAAGGTCATCAGTTACAGTAGTAGACTAGAGTATCCTTTGTTTAGAAACAGATCTGAAAGAATGTTTATTTCTTTTATAATTGGAAATGGGACTGATAACCCTTCTCACATGCCTGGTTTCTTATTAGATATATCAACATCTAATCCAACCAATGAGGAAAGAACAACTTTGCCAGCAAAATGGAACAAATGTGAAACTGGGGGTACAGCCACCTCAGGTAAGAGAAGAGGTTACTTACCCCTAATACACTTTTAAGGGATACAATTTTAAAGAGAAAATTCTCTCCTGTTTTACTCTAGCTCAAGAAGTAAAACTTTTCACAATGCTCTTACGTCACATTTCATAATGTGCTGCCGTTCACATTGTGTTGAGAGTCGCCCAGAAGCGATGGATTAAATTGTTGAAATTCTTGTTTTTATGGAGTATTGCAGAATTTATTATAAATGGGCATCATTATTATTATCCATGGACATCATTATTATTATTTTTTTCAATTCATGGTTATCGTAATCTTTAATCAAAGTAGCTTCCCCTACCACTTGCAACAACATGTCTTCTCTTGTCTGATGACACGTTTACTGGCATGAGGGCAGGAAAAACTGTCACACATAAGATCATAGCAATAGCAAACGACAACAATTCAATGAATTCCTGATGGACAAAAATAAGTCATTTTTTGAGATTTGAGAAGCCATTTCACTAGGATATATGTCACAATAGGGAGGCAAAGACTATCGCAATTTTCATTTCCTATCTGTCAGACACATTCAACATTATCCCGAAGATCTCACTTGGGAGCCCCAATATTGATATATTGAGAATTGGCAAGTGAGGTATTTCTTGCCAGTGAAAGGGTGCATTCAGTGGTGCTTAGCCATTCAAAAAAGAGCATTTGCACAGTTAAGTGCAGTGATTCCCCCCTGGGTGCTTCAGCACAAAAGAGCAGATTTCCCAAAAAAGAAAAGCAAGCTCGGGTGGCGAGCATCTTTTTAAATATGTATTTCAGTCTGTGTGTTTCTGGATGTGGTCGTTTCCTGTCCTCATCTGATGGCTACGATCGCTGTCTCACATGACTGGGCCGTGAACATAGTGAGATGGCGTTCGTGGATGGTTCATGCTCTCATTGCGAAAGCATGACCATGTCAGCATTGCGGTCGCGACTCACCTTTTTTCGTGAAGGCATGAGTCCCCTCTGCTGTTACCCAGCATACCGCCTCTGCTCAAGACTTAACACTCTGGGAGACCTGAGGGTTACAGTGGGAGCGCTTCCACCTGGCCGTGTGCTGTTGAGCTGCCGGATGATGGCACGGGTCCTTCTTGGGGGACCCAGCGTGTCACTCGGTACTCCGGATGAGAATCAGATGGGACGCGGAGGACTTAAGTGGCCTACCACAGGCGGAGGTAGACACTTTCTCTCAAGCCAGAGCTCCCTCTACTAGGCAAGCTTATGCTTTGAAGTGGAGTGTGTTCACTGAGTGGTGTTCTTCCCAGCGGGAAGACCACCGGAAATGCCCGATTAGCTCTGTGCTTTCCTTCCTGCAAGAGAGGTTGGAGCGGAAGGTGTTCACCTCCACCTTGAAAGTGTATGTTGCTGCCATCACAGCACATCACATTGCTGTTCATGGTAGATCACTGGGAAAGCACAATCTAAATCCTCCCAGGCTGCGCCACATCCCCTCCTGGGAACTCTCTGTGGTCCTTTTTCATCTGCAGACAGCTCCCTTTGAGCCTCAGGAGTCCGTTGAGCTTAAGATCCTGTCTCTAAAGACAACGGTCCTGACACGTGGGGGATCTGCAGGCATCTTTGGCCAGCGAATCGAGTTTGGGCTGACCTCTTTTCACGTGATCCTGAGACCTCGGCCTGGATATGTGCCCAAAGTTCCCAAGGCGTGCTGTGGCCCCTCACTCCACTTGGAGTGTTGTCTCCTCCTGGGTGTTGGTGCACAGCGCCTCTTTAGCAGACATCTGCACAGTTGTGGGCTGGGCGAAACCTAATACCTTCACGAGATTCTACAATTTCCAGGTCGAGGCGGTTTCTTTCCGTGTGTTGAGTACCAACAGGTTATGTTCAGGATGGATGGCTTGGTGTCTCGCTTGCAGCCCCATTTCCCTTTAAAAGGGGGTATTTGAGTGCCTTCGTTGCTCTTCAGGTGAGTTCCCCACTCAGCAAACCCTGGATTGAGTTTCTACCGAGCTTCCTTCGGCAATCAGATGCGGCAAAGTTGTCCGACACCAGGCCCAGTACTCGAGTTGCCCCATGGGTCAGTCCATATGTGTATTTCCACATGCTCCTACGGGTAGGATTTGGCCTATGTAGTGTGCCTCTCCATGGAACTAGGTACACTTCCCCAGCATTAATAACACTGGTCATGGCTGAAAAAAAGTGGGAATAGTGAACCAAAGCACATTTCCCCTGGAGTAAACATACTAAAGGAACAGCAGCTACTACCGTCTCCATGGTAAGCCTTGTCCCTTCCATCCTGTTGGCATGGAGGACTATTATTCTTTGGGCTTACGTGGGACATGGGGTAGGTTACGACTGTATGAGAGCAGTTGCCAAAAGGGCATGCTACAGCTTGCCAGCATCTGCATTTCCAACACTCGTAACAGTTCAGTGGTCCCTTGTCTCAGCACCTCAGCCTAAACCTGAATGAGTATACCTATACAGAGGAGTGGCTTGCAAATTCCATTGGCCATTTTTCTATAACTCAGAGGTGATTAGGGCTCCCAAGTGAGACCCCATTGAGACTCCATCAGGGAACAATGGTTACATCAGAAACCAAGACGTGTCAAGCCAACTTTTAAAAAGTTTAACATTATTTTTCTCACATGCCTATCATTTTGCTTCAGAAGACATTTATTCATCAACTGGGGTTGTATTGATTATTGTCATGTTCATTTTGTATGGTTTTCAAAGCATCAACTAAGAAGGATCACTTCCACTTGCATTAAATGGACTGACTGAGATGGAAGAAAGAAAGTCATACACATCTACAGTACATTTTCATTTTTGGACGGAGTATCCCTTTAACATTAACTTGCATTCAAAGATGACTCTGGGTTTGTACACATTTCCTCATGAATATTGCATTGTCAACAGCTTAATATCTGTTATTTGCTTAACAGGCTGTTGGGCTCATGAATTATTCACATTGTCTGCCTTCGGCCAAATAAATTTGCTGAAATGATAAAGCAGACAGTGAAGCACGAGCACTAGCCAATGGAATTTTTGTTTGCTCGATAGCAATGGAGGATCTATGGAGGAAGCAGCCGCCTGGCTTGTTTTAAAGCCTTCGTTTTATGCAAACAGATATGATTATTTCAGAGTGTCTATTTACACTAAGTGCATATAGCCCATTTTGTTGCCAATGTCTTTTTACACTAGCTTTTTCCACCAATTTCTGTTTTAGCCAAACAA